AGAGGATTGGTAATTTTACTAATTTAATTTCTTAAAAACATTTTTCTATAAATGTTAGCTTTCAACTATATAAATAATTCTTACATTGCTAATAATTATTTCAGTCGGCTTATTTAAAAATTAAAAACAATTTCGAAATTACCGTTCTTGTATTTTTTTAAGTAATAATTTCTAAAAGTAATCGTTCATGTTCTAGGCCGCAGGTATGCCTTGCAATGGTCAGCCAGTACCATATTACAATCAAGGACTAGAAAGGTCTGGATGGGCTAGAAAAAAGCATCACAAGGCTGTTAAACGCTCGACTGATATCTTCAAGAAGCAATCCAGTGCTGAAAACTTCAAGAAAGATGAATCTTGTAACGATGAAGAATTGAGGAATATCATTCGAGATGTAAGTTTCTCCTCAATGAGCACACCAGTTTAGGCAAAGCACTAAAAAATTAACATTCAGAAGATGGAATATTTCAAATTTTATGTGATGACACAACACAGAGCAATGCAATTTAGGGCAAATTTTTTATTCATCTTTTTTTAATTGACGGAACCGAATTTGTTATGTCATCCTCTGACTTTTCTATGAATCAAAGCCTCACAATTTTCGATTCGAAAGTTTAGTCATTTTGGTTTTATAAAAAATCACAAGCACTTTTTTAGCTGCCAAATTTATAAAATAAAGTGAGGCGACTTTTTAATTTCATAAAATTTGATTGTTTTTGTAATAAAAATATATTACTTTTTTAATAAATTATTATTAATTAAATTTTTGGAAATAATATTTGGAGTGCTATACTTGTAATATCAACACTGATAAAATGCAGAAGAGATGAGCCAGATGAAATTGCAGAATTTGGGAAACGATCCTACACAATCAAAGAGACAGATTCAAAAAGTAGCGGAAGCGAAATTCAATACGAAATTCAATATTATTTGCTCTAAAGGTGACTTCAGCTACATCACTCACACTGAAAAGTACTGCCAAATCACGGGATTAGATGTTACTTGTTATGCATTCAAAGCCGTATAATTCAAATATTATTTTTTTTGAAGCAAGCCAAAAAATTTTAAATGACTACGGATACAAAAGTAGTCAAGAAAAAAGCCCGTAAGATAATGTAGTGATATGATGTATATTTTTGACGACAAAAAACAAGTAAATTGATCATTAAGCAGTCATAATGATGAATCAAATTGTAAAATACGCTGATAATAAAGACATATTTTGAAGAAGATTAGTTATGAAGGTTACCGTATTACTGATTAACTTAATACTGATAATAAGCACATAACACACTATGACAGTAAATGTAAATAATTGGTCAAAGCAGTATATTTCTACTTCTACTACAGTATTAAAATGTTTTGTATCAATTGCTTCAATTTTAGTCCATCTTTATTACTGCTTTATAATAGCTAAAGTCTCTTCTTCTTCCCAGTAAATCTCAACAACAGTATTCTATATACCTTTTAATTCATAACATTAGTGATAAGAAGCTAGCACTGATTATGATAACATTGGCAATTTTACTTTTGTATAATCACATCGCTTTATTATGCAATAAAAAATTTTTCGGTTATGATGTAAAGTTTATTAGGCACACAAAAAGTGTAGTGTTTATCACTGAGTAATTTTGATAGGAAGGAATAACGATGATATCGGAAATAATTGTCACAGCTGAAAAAGTTACATCCATCAGTGATAATAATAATTAAAAAAGTATTGATGTGGTTAATACTTTATGAAAAATGTAAGTTATGAAGCAATACGAAAAACAAAAATTGGTGCAAACAACAATAATAAATGATATTAATAATAATAATAATAATAAACTTTCCTTTCAAAAAATTTTCTCAAGTAGTGGTAATAATACCGGTAACAATCAAAATTATACAATGTGTGCATTTAAAAAATTTAATAATGACCGATAAGAATATGAAAAATAAAATATGTAATATACAATATATTCATGCAAGTACAGTACCACGCATGCATACTTATATGCGCAAATATATGTATAAATATGCATTTACATTAAAAAACAGTACAAACAAAAATAAAAAATACGAAACAGGTAATCCAGTCAAAACGTAAGTCTTAACAAATCGCATTGTGGAGGTCATTTTACTACTTACAAAACCTTGGCCAGTAATTATTTCATCCGTAAGTGATTTTGCGTCTTGATACTGTACCACAGAAATAATTTTACGGTTTGGCAAGTAAACAACTTTAATTGATTACACAATGACACCATTTATTAGATATTAACCAGTAATTGTCCAGTTACATAAAGCCTCATAACATCAAGGTTGTCTTGAGGCTTTTAGCTATAATCCTTCAGATGGTGACCTCACAGCAATTAGCCAGTCGGCCAAGCACCAAATGTCTGAATCTTTTGTTTCTCTCGTACTAAGTATGATTACTATCGTAATGACTAATCACAGAAAAACTAGCTTGTTTCATGACAATCTAAATCTAACAACTCACGTTGCCTATTACTGGGTAAACAATCCAATCTTTAAAAATTCTGCTTCAAAGTGATAGGAAAAGCGATATTGAAAGATCAAAAAGTAACGTTACCATGGATGCGTTATCCAGTTATTCCCGTGGTATCTTTTTTGACCTTCTAACTAAAATGATCTGCGAGCCGCGCTTTCGTAGACTGTATTCGTTGAAAATTAAC